CTAGTGAGAGTCGCAAAGAACCGCAAGAGATATCTGAATATTCACATATCATTCTCTCTCTACCATTGTAGCTTTTATTTGCACACTCTACATTTTCTTTTATCCCGTTACAAGCAGCCTCAGGAAGAACACAGCACTAAATCATAGAATAGCGAAACTGATGAAACGCGTTTCGAAATGTGGCCCTAGGGAAAAGCGAGACGACATTACTCCATCTCGAATCGATATCCCCAATATAATGCACTGGGCAACAAATTATTCGATATAGTTGTATAAAAGTCTCTCATACGTAGACATTATTACAATGTTAATTTCTTTTCTTTTCTTGTTACACTGTATTGTAATAATAGTTATTCAGACATTGCATTTATAAATTTTCGAATCAACTTCGTGATATTACATTCTATTTAATTATTGTCTATAATTACATTTAAGACAACAGCATTTTAAGCGTATCTCAGCAAAAAAAAACCTGATTGTGCGTTTTATTATTTTAATAAAATTACTAAGATAAAAATTGTATAATAAATTGCAACACCATAAATGTATTATATTTAATGATTAAAGCCAGTTAAAATCCATATTGAGATTACAGTTAAAATTTATAGAAGCTGAGAAAAAAAATTTTTAATAAAAGAAAGAAGATAAGTGAAAGTAAGATTAAAAGCGCGCGTAACAGAAAAGCTGTAAGATAGTCTGTAAGAAATAACTTTTTAATAGCCAGTTAGAGAGAGAGAGAGAGAGAGAGAGAGAGAGAGAGAGAGAATGTGTGTGTGTGTAATGTAAGTTTAAACAAATGCAAATTCAATAAAGAAGTTTTTTATTCAGAATCTAATTAATCACTAAATCTCATTAATTCATCGTTATTATACTATTTGCTTTGAAAAAAGAAACTCCAAGTTACATCGCAGTAATTCGCGAATCAGCATTAAAATAGGAATAAGATTAGATGAAGGATGCTTCCATAAGCGTCGCACGGTGACAAGATGTCTTTCTTTGAATTATCTTTAATATAATTAGAACTACGTTCAATTAACAATAATCGTTAATCGATTAAGTCTCTAAATTAATTCTCCCTTGAACGGTTTAATCTTCACAAACGTGGACGCACGAACGTAGGCTCGGTCAAGACAACGTGTCGCTCATGAAGATACATTTCGCAAGTACCATCGTTGTCGCGAATGTAATAAGGATATTAAACATCCACGCAACTGTCGGTTTTACGTTCTCTATCGATTCGCCGGAACAGACGCATTAACCGCGAACCGCGGACCGCCTAGTCTCAAAGGAGCAATGCGGCTACCGCACTCTACTAATGCAAAGCCCTCCACTGTCCCGGCCTCTCTCCATCTATCCCACGTACACGTACTCCCCATTCCCCCTTTCCGGGCCCTTTCTCTCCACCACACGGTCCCTTGCACTTCATCGAGGGCTCGCGGCTCCTAAATTTCCTACCCTTTAGTAATAATATATCTGTCCCTTGGGCGTCGCTGAGGAGTCCACCTCATCCTACCCAAGATCCCACGTGCGACTATTATCTTATATATAACTAAGGCCGAACCCCCGAGTTTCCTACCGAACAATCCACGAGGTCCGATCTTGTGGCGTATCTTTGGACACTGCGAATGTATCTTTAAGATTGCACATTCTCGAAAACTCTCGCTGGTGCGCCTTTATGTCCGCCATGTTACTGTGATGGTTCCCTTTGAAGGATTAACCGAACGATGCGTAAAAAAAGAAACGGAGCGCATCGCAAGAATAAAGAAACGGTAAAAAAGAGATAGACGTTTAATGGAAACTATAAGAGAAATAAATTAACAATAAAAAGCGAGTACAAGTTTTAAATTGATCGAGTATTTTTTGATAAAAAGTTAAGCTCGGTCTATTCGATCTTGTGCATGGAATATTCAAAGTTTAAGTATCTATTTTATTATTTATTGAAAAGTACACGATACTTTTCAAGCTGTTAACTCTGGCGTTAATAATCTTATTTAATATCTACTAATTGATTTACTGCTGTATCTATTATTTAATAATATAAAGATATTATATTAATGGCAAATAATCAATAACTTTAAAATATTTAATACTGAGTTCTCAGCTTGAAATTTGATATATAATACAATATAAACGAATATAAAGCTGCAAATGATGTGTTAAATATTTTAAATTCTAATTATTGTACATTAAACATTTATCTAAAAAAAGGTACTATTCGATCTTCATAACAAACTAAAAAATAGAAATTATTTTCACTTTAATATTACATACATTTTTTAAAGATAATTGCTATAAAATTCTTTGAAAAATATTTGAACTTCCTTTCTTTCAGAAATCCATTATTTTAATAAAACACAAACATTTTAATTAAACAGACATTACAAAGATTTTTATTTCGCAATCTTGATAAATGTCTTCTTGTACTCAGGAAATAGCATTCTATTATGAAAACAGCATTGTTGTACCAATTTAATATTCTACCCACAAATGTACGAAAGAAACTGTTACGCGCGTGTTTAAAAGTAGCGTATTTTCTCAGAAATTACCGCTGGCCATTTGTATGTTAAGTATGCTGACAAAAGAAATAACTATGATTATGACAATTCATACACTGAGTATGAACATTCACGAGATACTTATGTTTCGTTACAGTTGAAGAATCTCCGGGGAACCCCGAGTTAAAAGATATTTTTAAATTTATCTTTGACATGTCAAGTCGATAATGTGAAAGTTAAATGATAAGTGTAACAACTTTATGGAATATGCAATAGAGATAAACATTTTTTCACTTTCTAGAAACACGTAATGTAGCAAGATGTATTGAAATTTTAGACATCCAATGTGTGTTCTCTTTTCTCTTTCATATCAATCATCTTCTCTAATAATTATTATTGTTAGTTTTAGTTTTGTTAAATAATGGGAAGAAAGCGGGGAGAATTTCGCTAAAAATTAAAAAAAAATTTGACGACAGATAAAAAAAATTTTTGTCAAATAGGCAATCCTATGACAAATTATCCTGGTACAATAATATAATAAATTAAATAATAATTTAAAGAATTAATTCATAAAATTCATATGTAGTATCCATTGACGATATACAACTGCATAATTTTAAAGCAAGATTTCCATTATATTCTGTTTTTTATTTTAATTAATTTTAATTATCCAAAAGACTTAAGCAGCCAATTTTCGTTAAGTAAAGGAACTCATTGTAAAAATACACTTTTTTTTTAATTAAATATTTTTGTTGAGATAAGCTTCAAATATATATTTATATCTTTTTAAAACACTATGTTTTTCTAGAAAGACAAAGTCTTAGCTGGTAATATTATCATAATCTTTATAGTAATATTAGCAGCAAAGACTTTGCTTAATTCATTTGTAATTTTATAAATTAAATAAAAATATCCCCGAGTTGGAATCTCTTTTTAGAGTCGAAGTTTTTCGTAAACATTTCCTGTTATTATCGCAAAATTAAATAATTCTTCGTACCACTGTTACGATAAAATATAAAATCAAGAAAAGTCCTTTTGCGCGTTTTTATCACAGTAAAACTCGATGAATACTGTGTAAATAGTCGCTGGCTGCTTTAGAATGCATTTTTTTATACTATTTTTGTACGCTGAATATTTATAGATTGTTGCGTGGAATTAAATACTAATTAAAACAAATAAAACTATTATTATCCAAATTAATAACTATATGTGGTTAATTGTAGGATTAATATATTATAATAATATTAAAATAAAATAAAATTTAATCATAAATTAATAGTTTTTCTTACTGTTTTTTTTTAATAATTGCGTCTCGAAATAAATAAAATCATATGTAATTATTATAATTATAGAATCAAGAATTTTTCGTATAATTTTAGCAAATAAAATGAATAAAGGTATAAAAATATTACAAAAATACTAATTGTATGTTTAATTAAGTCCTGCGTAATTTTTTAAGCAATTAGAAAAATATGCTAATTACACACAATTTTGTATCCGACAATGTTAATGGAAAAATTCTTACCAATTTTAATCGACAGTTCTGTTTTCTTTAAATATGTATTTATTATTTATTATTTTGCTATTTTTCATTTCACAGTTTATTTTATAATATATATATTATGTATAACATAATATCAAAATTTTAAATAATTTTATACTTTAATTATATCAGTAAACTCGTGTGTTATGTTTATTATTAATTCATTTATATTAAAAAGCTTATATATAATGTAAATAAAAAAAATATCAATACATTTTGATAAGATGTTTGAATTATAGAAATGTTTCGATTACTGTTTTATATTTACATTTTGCGATTTTAAAGAGAATATTCGAGTAAATAGATAAATAAAAAACTTGATGTGAACCAACAAAAAGATAAATTATAACCTAGATTCACTTTGGCGAAAGTGACGAATAAATCGATTAATGATATTTACAATATTCGTACAGTACGTACAATTTCTCTGATTTCCATTATATCGCGAATTCATAATTATCATTATTCTACGCGATTATTCTACGCGATAATAAATATTCAATAGACGTTGAGTGTTCCTCCGTTCAATTGCATAATTTTAATAATATGTACGTAAATTTGATATGTCATACTTGAATGATTAATTATATTTATGAAATTTAGTATCCATTTGATTTTCTAAGAAAGCTTTGTAAATATTAATTAATGCGAAAATCTATTTTACAGTGTATAATTACGTTATCGCTGCATTCAATGAATAATAAAATAATTGAGTAAAATAACTGAATAATAAAATAATATAGTCAAATCAAATAACTCGCCGGTATTGCTAATGTAGACAAGAGAGAACGATTCTGAAGATGAAATACCTTCTATTGGACTATGAGTGATTGATCGAAAAAAAGCTAAGCAAATGCCCAGCTGCACGAAAAAATTTCGAATCTTCCAGGGTATACATATATAACGTAGAATAATTGTCACAAATCCATTATCTCAATAAAAAAAATGTTGTTATCACTCACCGACCGATGTGTAACAGCGGAGTTATCTGCTACGTTGATTACATTGGTCTGTAACAATATAATGTTCAAATTATATGATAACAGCAGTTAATTAAAATAATAAATATTTTAATAAATTATTTCATTTCTCTTTCGAATAAATATTTATCAGAAAAATTATAATTTGTCATTATAATTTCTAAAAAATCTTCATAAAAATATTTCATAATAAAATTTTAGAAAATTTTTTCTCTATTATTATTTTTATATTATTGAGATAAAACAATTCAAGTAAATGGAAAAGAATCATTACTTTTGCGCAAATAAATAATACTCACCGCTAGTTGCTCCGCTGGCGCCTGATGTATTTCCGAGACCTCCTCCTCCTCTCAAACTGTGTCAGGTCGCCTCCTTTGCACAACACTCACGAAATCACTCACTAATTAATTCAAATACGATAATTGTGTGACTACACGATATTCCTGTTTTGGTGCACATTTTATCATATTATGAAAAAAAAGGATCACAGCAATGATTATATTGTAGCTTGATACTTGCAACATCTTGTAAATAGCGAAGCTCGAATAAATTTTGATCGATTGAAGAATTTTAATAAACTGTCGACGTAAAGCAATTAAAAAGCATTAAAATGAAATTTAATTATGATCATGAAAACGAAACACATAAAGATGCCGAAATACCTATTTTGATACACAAAGCTATTGATAACAGTTTTCAATCGTAAAAGATGGTGAATAACGTTGGCGAATTATTTGCAAAAAATTGTGTTTGACATCTTCGAGTACTCTTATTGCGATTATATTGAAGACTAACACGATTGAAGACTAAAACCGTTTGCAAAATTGCAGCGTATAAAAATGACACAGAACGTTGTTCCGTTCGCAACGCTCGCTTATTTCAGAGTTGCCAACTCACTAGTAATAAATCGGCCTAGCCGGTATTTTCACTGTCCGGCCGGTTGCCGGTACATGTATTTTACCGACCGATCCACAAAATGGCGGTAAATTAAATTTGTCTAATGAAGATTTTTTTATAACAAAAATTTAGTTTTAAGTTCTATATACGCATTTTTATTATAAAAAAATATGATTTTAAATGAAAAGGATATCACAAAATAAAATTAATAATTAATGTTACTGTTAAGATAAAAAAAAAGTTGGCTAAGTATTTCAGCTACGTTTATTTAATGTTCATATATTTTAATAGATAAAATACAATTGTACCAATACCTGATACACATAAGTTTTTGAAATACACAGTTTTTTTTCGAATTTATCTAAATAAGGATTATCGTTATTTAGATAAATGGCCAGTAAAAATCGATAATTTTATTTAATTTGCATGAAAATCCGCGTGAATCGAAAAGTAATATGGTACTTTCGAATTTTAAGTTGGCAACCTAATTATTTCATTTTGATTTAACATTGATAAACAACAAGAATGAAATAATGCTCATGAGATATGCGAACGTTAAGTGGAACGTATACAAAGTAACCTGTAAAGAAGTCACCTACCGCGCCTAGACATCCCAAAAAGTAAGCATTGAATGATCTGTTCGGTGAACGTTTAGCGCGATATTAAATTAAATTACACAAAATATTTAATTAGAAATCAAATTTAAAGACTGTACTAAATAAATACGAAATTCTCTGATACAATCTCAATCTTGGTTCACATATTATTTCATATTTTAAATGCAAAAATAAACCGACTATATATAAATCGACGACAGATTTAAAGCCCGAGATGCTTAAATTAAAACATTGTTAAAGAAATAATTATTATTCGTAAATATCGTAATGTTACAATAAAGTTATAAATTATACGATTCGCATCTTCTACACTTCAACTCCTACAATTCGAATAATCAATCATGCAAAATATTTGAATAGCTAGTACCTCGATACGAGTTTACGAGTTTAATCAACGTGGAGTTTAATTACTCTCGTGGAGTCTAATAATCGTCAACTGTCGCATAGAAATGAGTTTGATATTTCACAGCATTTGTCGCAATCACGTCTTGAAAAGTAATATGGCAATACGCGGAGTTACTGAGTCACTACGTGGTCGTTCGACAGTTCGGGGACGAATAACAATACCGAGCGACCGACACGACCTTTATGTACATAAAGCTGTAACGGCTCACCGTGTATCGGAAAAACAACGACCAAAGACACGCCAGCCGAGCGCTGAAATATTCGACACAATTTTAAGATACCTTTGATAAACGACGTCGAATATTCTTCACCACGCTTTCATGCTTTGTAAAATAGCCGAGTTCAATCAATTTGTCACATACGACAAATATATAATACGTAATATGTATAATATATGTAAATATATTATATTACATATTAAAATCGATACTGAACATTCTGTTTGTTGCATGTCAAATTAATATCCTCGTGGTTATGGCAAAAACTAATGAAGCATACAGAACCTTTCGCAAAGTCGTTATGTGCACGGATTGCCACGTAAATGATAACGAATGAGAAAGATTTCTTTGATTGAAACATTACTTTTTGAAATCAAATAAATTTTTCTATATTTGATTTCAAAAAATTATATTTAAATGAAAGAGAAATAACGTTTAATTCAAAGAAATTTTTTCTTTATCTGTATAGGAGAAAAACACTTCTTTGAATCGAAGGAATCTTTCTCTAGTTTCAAAAATTACTTGTAGACAAATCACACATCACTATCGCGCAGTACGTCTTAAAAAGCAAGCACCGAACGATTCCGTTTTCGCAACGAATTTGTTTAACGTGACATTAAATAAAAATATACATAATATTCTGATAAAAATTATTAATGAATATATTAAATAAACGCGGAATACTTCGATATACTAAGTAATATCCAATTATTTTATATATTACATTAAATTTAATGCGATACCCAGAGTGTCTCGTACTACCACCGTCCCCCTCCAAAGTCGCCGAGCAAATACCGAAGTGGTGACGTAGCAACCGCGCCCCCCCCCCTCGCTGTTCGCGCTCTCCCTCGACGGCCGTCGCTGCGCCGATACTCAACTGTCGCGAATAAAAAATATTCAATTTATTCAATTACTTATTTTACATGATTTTGAGAAACGGATATCGTCGTACACTTTGCTTTGTGGCATCTCTGTCGCTTGTTCAATTCTATATTACTTGCGCGGTTTTTTTTTAAACATAATCAGTAATTATTCGCGTGGAGTATTTTGATATTTTAATATTATGTCTCAATTTTCATTATTCTTTTTAATTAAGGTTGATAATATTCTATATATTCTTTATATAAAAATACATGCAAATTTTCTTAATATATTGCGAAACAATTAGCGCTAAATACAGCTTTGACTAAAAGTATTAAAAATAATCCGAATATATATGTGTACATATAAATTGATGAAAGATTTCAAGCTTGAAACGAGATACTCAAATTGAAACGTTGAACATCGTTAGAGATATAATTATTACTATTATCTTAAATGTCGTAGTGTTACAATAAAATATTAAATTGGATCGCTAGTTGCTACGCTTCAATTCCTAACTTGAATAATCAATTGTACGAAATAAATAGTCAGCACTTCGATACGCTTACGAGTCGGTAAATGTGGAATTAATTACTTTCACGAAGTTTATAATGTTCAATCGTCGTAAAGAAACGAATATGATTTTTCGCGGCATTTGTCACGATTAGTAATACAGCAGTCTCGAAAAGTAATACAGCAATATACGGAGAATCACTATGTGTTCGTTCGACTGTTCGAGAGCAAATAACAATATCGTGCGACCTTCCGTACACAAAGTCGTAACGGCTTGCCGAAAAAACAAGAACCCGCCAGCCGCGCGCGAGCGAACGCCAAATTATTCGACGTAATTTTATAAAATACTTCGAAGTCGTAACGGCGCCGAAAATATTCTTCACTACGATTATTACGCTATGTAAAAAAATATTCGTAAGCCGAGCTCTTGCACGTTCAATCACGTTATCACATACGACGTATTTATTATATTACAAAATTGATATCGAACATTCTACTTTTTGTATTTCAAGTTTTACTCTCCATAAATAAATATTTCTTCCGCATTAAACGTAGCATTCAATTGAAAAATAAAATTCGTCGTACTTTTTAATCGAAAAAATAAATATTATAGAACTATTGTAATTTTTTAGACGCATTAATATTTCTCTAAGTAATATGTTTGAAATATCTTATTAAAAAAATGTTATTCAATAATCATATAGAATTTATCTACGATTATAATTTTTATTTAATTAATGACGCACGAGAAGTTAATTGAACACATCGATTATTCTGTCCTATCCAGAACGTTTAATATTATAATACCACGGTTAAATTTTATTGTATTAATATACATAAGGCATATGTCAATAATTATATAGAGTAAAGATGATTAATCTAATCCTATTAGTTATACGTTCGAGTTATACGTTGGTTCCTATAGAGACTATTATGTGACCAAATATGTGGTGTAATGCGGTCGGTCCTGCTCTGGAGTATGAAACTATGTGGCTGTCGGCAGATACTGCAAATTGTGGAGATTACTTTCACAAATTATGTGGAATTCGTAAACTTCCGCATTTCAGAGGTCGATCACACATAGATATTTGCTTACACTTTCGACCACTTGCTCTTTCGAGTTTGCTAGTTTTGTAGTGTATCTCATCCGTATTTTATCTTTGATATTGTCGCACTAGAGTTTCATGATACAAGACAAGAATTGTTAAATATAATATTTTCTAATTATTAAGAAAAAACACATCTAACAATTTTCAAAAGAAAATACTATTTCTGTTCGAATTTAGATAAAATATGATTAATCGTTTTTTTTATAATCACAAAAGATTGACAGCTAACAAGCTGTAATTCTTTTTAAATTACAATTTCTTTTTTATAAAATTGCAACATAATTCGTATTTAATCTATTTTACACACTCACACGCAATGTTGCTTCTTCATCGAGATATGAAGTAAAAGTTGTTTCATTCTATCAAGACTCATTACTATGGATTATTTCGTATTCTGAGTGAATATTTATTGACCTCATCTTTCGTGCATGAATTTCTTGGAAGTCGCAGAAGAAAATTAATAAATTAGCAAGACTTAATATGAATCGCTCGAAACTTGTTCATGATTTCAACAATCTCAATCTTTCTAATAAATAAAAATATCGTATCGCATCTTGCATTTAATTAAAACTTTTTAAGAAATAAAATTTGCATAATTAATCTTGCATTGGCATCGTATTTAAATAAACTCGGAATTTATATTTCGCAAAACAGATGCTTGATAAATGTTGAAACGTTCTTCCAGCGTATTAATGATTGAGAGTTAGCTCTGAGCACCTTAACAATCGACAAATGGTGGAAGCAATTCCCGTGATTTAGTTGTTATAGTGCGAACGGCATTATTCCCAACAGTTAATGCAAGAGTAAATTCATGCACGTAGTAAGGCAAACCAGTCTGTTCCTGCCTGGTAATTGTACGCCATAGAACGCGTAATAGATCGATGAGAAAAGGAAGCGAGGCAGAATGAAATCATCTGGAGTGTTAAATGGAATTCAAGTTAGTGTTGTCTGCGCGAGACTCCGCGGGAGCACGGTATATAACATTCCATGTAATCTTATATATTTCGTCTCTTCAAGCTGCGCTTCAAAGAAAAAGAGAGGGAAAGAGAAAGGGAGAGCGACGCTGTTAGAAACAAAACAGTTGAGTCGTTTAATTGTGATTTCCGCGAGTTGCTGCGAACGTACCAGAGTAATGCGATTATAATTTTCAGTTAAATCTGTAACTGTAAATCAATTGTT